TTAACTTCCGCGAGAACCTCTTGGCCACCAGTTTCTATCGCTAATTCGGCAGTGACCACTGACACCGTGTCCGATTGCGTGGTTAGCACTGCTTTTGATTTCATCACAATCTCTTGTGCCTGTGTTTCTGTCTCAACTTCTGCGTTGGCGAGATGTTCTGCCGCGCGCATGTCTGTCTGTGAATGCTCTGGTTCTACGTTGCCGGTCTGTGATGGTTTTGACTCCTTTGTAATTTCTCGAACCAATGCTTTGGGCGATTCGTCGATAGGGACGACTGGCCCTGTTTCTATTTCTCCGGTATGTGGTAGCGTCTCTATCGGCTCCGACTTCATGGAGTCAGAGATTAGTGCTAAGGGTTCCACTGTGTCAATACGCAACTGTAATGATTCCGTTAAAATCTTTTCTGTGGATTTATTTGGCAACATTTCATCAGCGAAAACAGCCATTGATACCACTTCGTTGATCAACGGCGGTATTAATTCTGGGGCAACTTCTTGAATAATTGTTTCTGACAGTATTTCTTTACTGACGTCGGACACTGACTTAATTTCAACGACAGGAACTGGAGCACTAGTACTGGAAACTTCTTGAGCAATTGTTTTTGATAGTATGTCTGTACTGACGGCAGGCAATGGTTTCTCTTCGGCGGCAGGGACTGTTTCTGATTCCGGGGTATTCTCATGAATGGCTGGAGATAAAGGAGTTTCTTGTTTGTTGGCTGGCACTAACTCTTCTTTGTCGGCCTGTGAGGCTTTTAACTCTGTTGGAAACTCTTGAATGACTGATTTTAGCATTTCGTCCGTAAGGATAATCAGAGTGGTTTCTTCTTTGGTGAGTTGTGGTGGCTTTGATTCCGTGGGAGTCTTTTCAATATTTTGTATTGGGGGTATTTCTGCGTTGCTTTGCAAAATCGAATTTATTTTAGGCGTTGGAATATGAAAGATTTTATCTGACGTCATTTCCTCACTGATCCCCTGAGCTGGTTTCACTTCAACCGTGTCCATGCGTTCATCGACGTTTTCATCGACAACTGGTACTGGCTCAACTTCACCGATCTTCATCGGTCCTGATTCCGAAGAAATTTCTTCCAGGACTGTGTTTAGGGGGTTTTCTGCGTCGATAAGCACTGCGCCCACTTCTTTGATTTGCGGTGTTGATGCCAACGCAACCTCTTGAGCAATTGTTTTAGACATTATTTCTATACTGATGTCGGACAGAACCTCCACTTCGTCAGCAGAGGCTATTTCTGATTCCGGGGAAATTTTTGGAATGTCTGGAGATGACGCTACTTCCGCTTTGTTAACTGAAACGGATACTCGTTCATCGGCCAGCGGTGGTTTAGACTCCATTGAAACTTTGTGAACTAGCGATATTGGTTTTACTTCGTTAATGGGCGGTGGCTTTTCTTCCGTGGAAATCTGGTGAATAATTGCATTAGGCGGCATTTTTGCAATTATGTCCAAAAACTCCTTTATTTCATTGACTGGAATTTGAAGGCTTTTTTCGGACTCTAACTCCTCTGGGCCAACTGTGTCTGGTTCTTCATCGTACGTCTGTGGACGTTCTGTTTCCCTGGCACTATTTTGAGTAGATATTTCTGATTTTATTTCTGCGCTGATGTCTGGCTCTGTGCCCATTTCGAGGGTCTGGTGTGATTCTGCTTTCGAAGAATTCAGATGTAGGACTTTACAGGGTTTTGATTCTTTAGGGATCTCTTGAATAATTTCCTTAGGGGGTTCGCACTCATCGACGAGAGACTCTTGCGCTGGGTTGATAGGTGGAGGTAGTTCCACTTGCGAGCGAATTGCTCGGCGCATGGAATCTGCATTTGAAAGCAAATCCACGGCCGATACGGTATCTTCTTCATTGTTCTGCATTGGTGCAGATTTTGAATCAACAAGTGGATCTGACGCCATGTCTGAATTGATAATTTTCCCTAAGTCTAATTCATCAATATTCAATGTTTCGGATTCCCCGGATATCTCTTGAATAATTGTGTTCGATGGCATTCCCTCAATAACTACTGGAAGCGGCTCTACTTCGTTTGTATGCCATAGTTCGGGTTGAGCAGGAAGCTCTTGAATGCTTGGTTCGGACTGTATGCTCGACTCAGGGAGTGAGGCATAGAATAGTTTTCCTTCGCTCAGTATCTCTTGAGCAATCGGGTTTGGTGGTACTTCTAAATTATTGACTGGCTCTTTCTCTATATCATCTCTCCGTGGCGGCTCTGATTCAGTACAAGTTTCTTGAATTATTGTTTTTGGTGGTGTTTTGACATTGTAGAATTGCACTTGATCTGCTTCGCCACTAGGTACAGGTTTCATTTCCGTGAGAATCTCTTGAGCGCCTGTTTCTATCGGCAATTCAGCAGGGACGACTGCCACCGTGTCCACTTCCGCGGATAGCATTGTGTTTGGTTTCAGGTGTGTTTCTGACTCAACTTCTGCATTGGGGAATAGCTTTGACATTTGTTTGTCGATAGGTGGTGGTAATGATTCCGTTGGAAGATTTTGAAGTATATTGTATGAATTTAAGTCCGCATCGGCGGCTGAAACTGGCTCTACTTTGTCTGTCTGAGATGGTGTTGACTCCGTTCCAACTTCTTGAACGATTGATCTTGGCGACTTGCCCATAGGGACGATCGGCGTTGCTTCTACTTCAACAGTCTGTGGTAGATTTGATTCCATGACGATTGGCGGCGCGTGTCCTTCGTCTGTCAGTGTACATTCTGATCTCATGGAAATGATTTGATTGGTGACAGACTGTGTTTCCTCATTGATCTCTCGCACTGAAATCAGTTCAACTGTTTCCATTGGCTTCGATTTCATGAAGTTCTCTTGAGAAATTTTATCAAACGGCAAGTCTTCATGTATCAGTGGTACTGGCTCTTTTTCATCGATCTGCAACGGTTCCAATTCCGTAACAATCTGTTCGGCGGTTCCAAGTATTTCTGCAGCGACTACAGGCATTGCTTCTCCTTCGTTGACCTGCGGAGGTGTTGATACTGAGAGCGCTTCCTGAGCAATTTTTTTGGTCAGTATTTCTGCACTGATGTCAGACACTGGCTTCACTGGTAGGGTTGGTTTTGGCTCCGTGAGAATTTTATGAATTATTGGTTGAGGTGTTTTTTTTTCACTGATATATAAATCCTCTTCCATTTCAGTGGGGTTTTTATCTGACTGTAATTTTTCTTCGACGACTGGGCTCGGTTTTTCATCGTCTGTCCGTGAACGTTCTGTTTCCATGTATTTACTTTGTGTGGATTTCGATGACTTTATTTCTGCACTAATCTCGGACATTGTATCCTCTTCGACGGTGTGGTGTGGTTCTGAGTTCTTCGAATTAACCTGAAGGACTTTATCTGTAGATATGTCGTCATTGATGACTGGCACTGGCTTTGGTTCCTTCAGGATCTCTTGAATAATTTTGTCTTGAGTTGGTTCGATAGGTTGAGGTAATTCCAGTTGTGTGCGAGTCTTTTGGAATATGTTATCTGACTTTGTGTGCGCTTCAACGTCCGATACGGTGTCTCCTTCGTTATTTTGAATTGGTGTGGATTCCAAGGGAATTAGTGAACCTGACGGCATATCTGAATTGGCTGGAACTGGCGCCTCTTCATCTGTCGGCGATAGTTCTTTTTCCACAGGAGGCTGATGAAGGTTTGGGTCGGACAGTATGCGCACCTCAGCGAGTGGCACTGGCTCTACTCCAGTTGACGATGTTAGGCTTTTCTCTAGGGATATCATTTCGGTGATAGGTTTTGGAAGTTTTGCGGAATTAGTGGCTGGCACTGGTTCTATTTCGACTATCCCCGGTAGCTCTGATTTATTAAACAATTTTTCAATTACGGTTTTGCGCGGTGTGTCCATATTGACGGACGGCACCAGATCTGAATCCTCACTAAATAGAGATTTAATTTCCGTGAAGCCCTCTTCGACGCTTGGTTTCGGCGGGAGTTCCATACTGACGACTGTCACATTTGCAGACGTCAATGACTCTGACGCTTGTTCATCGGCCTGCGGTGTCTGTGATTCCGAGAGAATATTTTGAAGAATTTCTCGCGGGGCTGTTGATTCCGTTGCAACTTCCTGCGCGACTATTTTTGTCGATACGTTTGGAATTGTTTCTACTTCGCAAGTATTTGATGGACTTATTTCTGTGGAAATTTCCTCAATAATCTCTTTGGGTATTTGAAAGATTTTATCTGACGAAAGTTCTTCATTGACGATATCACACTCTTGCTTTATTGCGACCATTCCCATTGGCTCCGATTTCATAGAGTCCTCTTGAAAATTGTTATGATTTACTGGTACTAGCTCTACTTCGTAGCTTTGCGTATTTTCTGATTCCGTAAAATTCTTTTCCTTTATTGCTTTTGGCGGAAAATTTTCAAGGTAAACTGGTCCGGCCTCTACTTTGTTGGTCTCGATACTTTCGTTGAGTACTACCGTCGATTTTTCATCAGTTGTTGTTATAGGTTGTGATTCCGTAGGGACTTTTTGAATT